GAAATGAGTGCCATATTCGTAATGAGCATCCCCAAATACCTCGAAAAGGATACCCATATAGCATATTTTGAAAAATCGTGTCCGCCATCTTGGATTTACAAATAAGTGCTATATTCGTTTTTCATCGATAAAACCGAGCATATCTGTAGGCACCTGATCGACATTGTCGATCGACAGTAACGATCGACAAAATCGAGCACATCTGTAGGCACCTGATCGACAATGTCGGGCAAATCTGTAGGCATCTTTAACTTAATGATGAGTTAAGCAAGATACAATTTCCCCACTTTTGAGGGAAATGTTATTCCATGGCATCATTATTTGTATATTTGTGTGCGTGCCGACGAGCGTAGTTACAAGTTGCTTACGCCTACATGAATTTGGTTTTTGCCTCACTTGTGACAGTTCGTTTGATATGAAACTATCATTCTATGCGTTATTATTCTAAGGTCTATATTTTCTTTTTAATCTTATAATAAGCACGTACGTAGTATAAAAATGTCTATACCAACATTTTTGTTTAGAACGCGTTGCGAAGAGCGTGGCGTTGTTTCTAAACGCAAGTGGACCTATTATTACCTGCAAATTGATTTGTTTTAATTAATATTTCTTTTACTTGTGGTGTTACAGATAGATGGTTATACTGGCTTACCTCAATAAAGTGATTGTATCAAACAATGTGCGCTTTAAAACTATAACTTGCTCCGTGAAGTGATGCAATCGTTTAATAAAATCGACGTTTAAGTGGATTGTGAGAATACTGAAAAAAACTTATTGCTAAAAATCTATTATGGAAGATTTTCTAATCATTGATGCACTGCGACATTGTTCTTGCACCAACAAACGGCTGATTATGTGTATTTACTGTGTCTTGTGCTCTTCGCGAATAACCTAAATGCAGCAAAATTCTATTTAGAGAATTCATTGTTTGCCTTTTTCTAACAGATTGTCAATATCTATGGATTGGAAGCAGAAAATCAACTCTTGAGGTGCCTGCTCACCGAAGCTGCTAAGGCATCGTGGGATTCTGACCGTTCTGGATCCTCATTGAACAATAATCTCCACGCATCACTCCTCGCCCAACACTTGGCATCTTTGCTGAACCACCCGGCAAAGTCTACGGTGGTTTGCCGAGCAGTTGATAATCCGACTCGTACGCTTCAAAAGGTCAGTTCACTTTTCTAACAAATTCTGTAGGATATAGTAGTTATTTTCTTATTTTAGTTAGATTGTAGATTCGTGCCCTTGTTAGTCTAAATTTGCAACTGTCTGTTGATTCATATTGTATATATACTCGCTTTGATTTTGAAGCAGGTGACAATTAGCTTTAAAATTTTTATATTGCAATTCTCACACCCCAAATTTGGACCATAATTATAAATTATTTTCTTTTTACAACTAATTCTTTGGTACAACAAATGTACCCCACTATAATACTTGTAGCGCAGTGTACCAAAGTCACACGGGTAATGTTGTACCCTACATTGTTCACTATAATAAAACGAGGTACAGTCAAGAACTAAAGTTATCGATTTGTTTGTAGTAATTGTTTAATAAATTAATCAATATTCAAGTGAAAAGTTATAAATGTGCATTTTATCTGTAAGTCAACTATTTGCAATATGCACAATATCTACTTAACTCAAAATGATTTAATCCCTTTTATTTTTAAACTTATTTGGTAAGTAGAAGAAGAAGAGAAATTGTTCAGATGTCCAAAATAATTACATTATATTAATATTCTTTCATGGGAAGTGAGTAATTTGTTTCTCATATATTCTGAAAAAATACACTTTATTAGTTGATACACTATTGTATTGACAATGTGATATTATTGAACCATATTCTACTTTGTATGTTCTGACAGTAACGGAGCACAACGGCACTGGTAAATATTACAATATAGTGTGCAACATAAACACAACCAATTAAAAATTAATCTTAATCAGTATTTATCCACAGTTCCCGCACCGTAACACAAAATTAAGAAAAAATAAAATAATATCAAATTAAAATAAATATAAAAATCCAAATATTAATAAAATTTTTATTAAATTGATATTCAGTTTGTCAAAGTTGTGCTTGCGTCGTGTCTTTGTATTTGGTTTTTCACTTTTTAGTCGTAGCGCCATCTATGAGAAATCTATGAAAGATTTAGTACAGTACAGTTAGTACCTTTACAGCTACCAGTCCTGGCGAGAGATGTCGCTATTCACTGTATTAATTAAATTTTTATTGAATTGATATTCAATTATTTTTTTGTGAAATTACTATAATTAATATGAATTAATCCAAATATTTCAACATGAAATAATTTGTTAATTCCTTTAAAAATAGGCAATTAAATACTTGTCTTCTTCAGTTGGCAATTGTGTGCATGTAACACAGCATCCGAGCTAAGGTTAAAGAAAGACTTAACTACAAAATAATGCTAACATTATGCATTTTTTAATTTTTATACAGAGGGCGCAAATTCGTAGCCCTAAAAACAAAAAAGAAAACTTTTCTGTAAAATTTTGCAATTGTATTTTATATTCAATTTTTTTTTATCTCGAGCTGTGCAGTAAAGCTGTTGTTTCTTGCATAAATAATAACACGGTCTGTATTGCGCTGTCGTTTATCACACGGCAAGACACTATTCTATTGCATAACGCACAGGATCTTTACACTCTTATTTAGATGTCACATTTTAATTGGAAAACTACTGTCCAGTGTACATTTTTTTTAAATATTATATTGATTAATTAATGACAACAATTTTCATATCTAGGTATTTATATCCATAATAATAATATCATTTTTGTCACGATTGGTATAATTGGAAATACGATAATAGCTATTCATTAAGACTTCGATACTAATGACTGCAGGGGAATGGGCTCTGAGTAGTGTACTTCTAATTGATAGGTGTGAATATAGTCTCAGGTAGACATTCAAAAAATAAAAAAAATGCTATTTTGCGATTTACTTGCGCCTGAAGGATGTAATTATAATGTTTAGTACATTTTAATGTACGTTGGGCATTTAGCGCTTTTCTCATCGTAGTTTCCTGAATCTTAGGAAGTTAACTTCCCTCAGTTTTGTTTTAAAATGTTTATTCTTAGAACTCTGTGGTCATATAGAATATAAACGCATTAAATTTGAATTAATTATTTCCATATGTACACTAGTAATTCGCCGTTTTCAAGAATACTGGCCCAATCCAAAATTGATCCTTTTTTTATTTATTACTGAGATTTATTCAGAAACTGCTAAACTTTATGTGGTTTGGTTCCAATCCTTTTCTTGGTTAGAATAATCACGTGACAACGTTGGGACGATACGTCAATTTTGGGCGACATCCGCTTCTCAGCTTTTTTAAGCCATCTTCCTGATGAATAGGATCCTTTTGAGATAGGCCATTAATCTAGAAAGCCGTCGAATTATAGAAATAATATTGTGTGGGTTTTAATCACTTCACATATTACCTACATTTTGATATCTATGGGGACTTGGGAGGTTAAGCATCGTTGTATTATTTTCAGATATTAAAGCCTACCAATACATTACTCAATCGCCTTTCAAGATTATTGAGACTAACTACCGCCGAGGATGTTGCCTTCTCTCTGGTTTTGAGGAGGAATTCTTCTAAAACTGAAATTGTATCATTAACTAAGCAACATCTGAAAAAGAGGTTCCTGGATCTTGTTCAGTGCTATCTAGACGCAGGTAAGACTTTATTCAGCTACTTTGTAAACGTTTTACAAAAAGACGTAAAGCTTCATATGATAAACAATAGTCTGTCTGTTTGGAAGACGGGAGTAAAATGACATTAGCACGGTTGCCAGTTTTCGTGAAATTTTAAATAGTCATGTAGTTGTTGTCGACAGTTTTATCGATAAAATTGTGAAAGAAGGTAAAATTTTGGTGAAAATGTCTTGAATTATAATGTTGCGACGTTCTTATGATTACTAATTGCGTTATTGCCTTCTTTATTCTTATTTTGAAAGTTTGCCTACTAGTGTCGAAATCAATTTTTATTGACATAGATACATTTTAATAAGAACAAGCGGTTTCGATTATCAACTTCTCCTCGTTGAATTTTAATGGACATTGTTGTAAATGCAATTCAAATAACCTGCCCAGCAGTTACGTACGAATAATGGGTCGATGCCAACATTCAGTCGATAGTTGATAGAATATTTATCAACTGCAATCACTAGCTGCTTGTAAACGGGCAACACTTGCGGAATGAACTGTCATTTTACTCCATCTTCAAAAAACACAGACTATAGCGAAGACGTGCGAAGCTATTGAACAAGTTTACAAAAGAAAACGGTGTGACGGGAATTTCAAGCTGTATCTGTTTCGTAAGGCCGTTTTCTGTAATTTCGGTGCTGTAGCGGCGCGACATCAGTATGCTCAGTACCGAAATAACACTGGCCCTGTATTCTCGTTCTCCGCCCAACAGCCGTCCAAAACACTTAATGTCAAATAAGTAATACTCGACCAAATCAAAAGAGACGTGTTGCGAATGAAGCATACTTGATATTGTTTTTTGATTCGATCGATTATTACTTATTTGACAGTAATCGTTTCGGCCAGATGGCGGACGGAGAACTACGGTAGACCTCCTCTAACGACTTCATCTACGCACTTGTCGGTATATTCTCAGTATAAAATTCTACAGTACCGCATGTGACGTCGCGAGACAACGTCGTCCTCGAGTGATGGAGACATTTTGGTTTTGGCTAGCATTATTATAGTTATTAATACTGGATAGTTTATTTATTTATTTAATTTTACAAGACAGAAAACGGCGTAAATGTTTTCGGCTTGCCTGCAACCACTCCAGTACTTTTTTTTGTAATCCACCTGTTAATTGTGAATTTATTTAAATGTATATCAAATATTTTAAACAGTGCTTAAAGCAGTAATGTACATACATAAACGTATTATCTTCTAAAGTTTATTTGTGTTTTTGAAGTTAATTAGTTATTTATATTTTCAACTTCCAGAACGAGGACATCAAGTGGAACGTGCAGGTCTTCAGGAATGCAGCCCTGAAGTTTTGCAAACTCTACTGACGAGTCTAGCGCACGAAAATTTTCGGCTTGCCGCTGTGACTAAAGATTTATTTCTTAAGCGTTTGCGTGTCGACTTCCCTCGTGAGGTCGTACCTATTGTGCTTGCACCTTTATTGTATCCCGACGATACGCAGACGCCACTCAAGGAAATGACTACTGCGGACGACATGACAGCCGCCATGATGGACAACTCTTTAGCTGATATCATCCGAGATATCGGATATTCCTTTACATCATCAGTTGAAGAGTGCAAAAACAACATGCTGAATTTTGGTGCGCGGGAACCAGCGGCGATAGACGTGGCCAGGATCATTTCCATGATGATTAGATATCACGCTACCCTGCAAGACGGCCCGCCACTACAAACGCCTGGCAACTTCTGGATGAGTCACGAAGCTAAGAAGGACCCCTTGACTCTCGGACATGGGGAATCTTGGAATGCTGAAGTTTTTGTACAGACGCTGAAAGAATTAGCTTCAAATCTGAATTGGAAGGAGGTCATTCTACAACTTGACCATCCCGAATTTATAGTTCCTGACAGACAAGGCCTCAGCTTATTGTTTACCATATTACGACTTGGTCTGCAAAGTGCAGGCTATCCATCTAATATTTTCCCAGTGGAATATTTATGCCGGCGATGGACAAACCTTGAGGGACAAATGAGCCTGATCAGCAACATTCTGAAACATCCCGACATCTTTAGTTTTGCCGATCATCCGTTCCACCCTGTATCTATCGATTTGCTTAAATCACCACCTGAAACGGACAATAAAGAAATAGCGACATGGCGCTGTCTTTATTTGGTCGAACTTCTGCTCTATGCAGCTGAGCGAGGTTACTACATGCAGGTACATGAATTGTTCAAGTTTCCTCTGCAGCATTGTCCTGACGTCTTGTTGCTTGCTCTACTACAAATTAATCCACCTATCACAATATTCAGACAAGAGTTATTGACAACGCTGATCCCAATATTCTTGGGCAACCACCCCAACTCAGGAATCATACTGCATCACGCCTGGCACACACAGAATCCCAATATAAAACCCATCATAATGCACGCCATGGCCGATTGGTACATACGCGGCGAATGCGATCAGTCGAAACTTTCAAGAATATTAGATGTTGCTCAAGATTTGAAGGCCTTATCTCTACTTTTAAATGTCCAGTCTTTCCCGTTCGTCATCGATTTAGCATGTCTGGCATCTCGAAGAGAGTATCTTAAGCTGGACAAGTGGCTAACAGACAAAATTAGAGATCATGGAGAGACTTTCGTTTCGGCTATGGTGAAATTTCTTCAGAGAAGATGTCCAGTCCTGGGGAAAGGCCCCGAAGAACAACTGCCTAAAGCCGCACAATTACCACACGAAACCATTACAACCATGCTCACATGCTTGCAGCTGTGTATTCCTAACGTTCATCAAGAACAACAGGAAGCTATTTACAATGTAATCACCAATTGTCAAACTCTCATATTGAGCAAGACTAGGACAATACCGGGCATGGCCCGATCTCATACGAGGGTATTGGAGACTCCCTTCAATCCCACTGGTTTAGGTGGACAGTTATTTACTCCTCATGTGGATTCACTTACTACTTTGACACCAAATGTGGCTAATATGAATTTAGGAGCTCCAGGAAACACAACCTTTGCTATGCCCGGCTCTCTAGGACCTCTAGTAACGACTCCAGGTTCGCCTTCCAGACTGATGGGAGCTGGACCTAATAGTCCGTTTGCTATGATGCCGCTGCAGCATAACACCAACGTTGCTAACATGACCGCTCTCGGAAGAATGGCACCGGCTCCGGTGCTGGACAAACCACGTATACCGGACCCCATCCATTTTCCTGAAATAATGCATAATGTCTCCAAGGAAATTGAGGATGAAGCAAACGGATATTTTCAAAGGATATACAACCATCCGCCACACCCTACTTTGTCTATCGACGAAGTTCTGGATATGCTGAAGAAATTTCAGGATTCTCCTAATAAACGTGAAAGAGAAGTATTCTCCTGCATGCTGCGTAACTTGTTTGAAGAATACAAGTTCTTTCCGCAGTATCCGGACAAAGAATTACATATAACAGCTCAGCTCTTTGGCGGAATAATAGAGAAAGGCCTAGTTCCTAGTTACGTATCGCTAGGCTTGGCTTTACGTTTCGTGCTTGATGCATTGCGAAAACCAGAAGGCTCTAAAATGTACTACTTCGGAATAGCTGCTCTGGACCGATTCAAATCGCGTCTGAAGGATTACCACAAATATTGCGAGCACGTTCGGGCTATCCCACATTTTAGTGAGTTCCCTCCACACTTGATAGAATACGTTGAATACGGGCTACAGAGCCAAGAACCGCCCACCAAACCACAAGGGGCAGTTTTGCCTACAAGTCTGGCAGCTATACTGAACCAAAGCTCAGTTGTAACAGTCTCAACACCATACAGGTAAGCCTTTTTTGTTCGTATTTCTGTATGATTTTCCATAAGAAAAATGTGTATGAATATTTCGTAATGTTACGTTATTTTTACAGGACCGTAATCTGTGCACCACCATCGTCTATATCAGTTATATCCAAAGTTACAAACGCTGGCGGCATAAGTAGCCGGCCGTCGATCGCCAACGCGACCAATATTGACACGCTGCTCACTGCCACGGACCGAGAAGATAAGATCAATTCCCCACCGGAGGCCATTCAGGACAAGACAGCATTCATTTTCAATAACCTCAGTCAGTTAAATCTACAAACGAAATGTGAAGAACTCAAAGAAATTATTACAGAAGAATACTATCCATGGCTTTCACAGTACCTCGTCATGAAGAGAGCATCCATTGAATTGAATTTCCACGCCCTGTATTCGAATTTCCTTGACGTGCTCAAAATTCGTGAAGTAAACAAAATGGTCACAAAAGAAACCTACCGGAACATTAAAGTGCTCCTCCGCTCTGACAAAGGAATTGCAAACTTTTCTGACCGTTCTTTACTAAAGAACCTCGGACACTGGCTCGGCATGTTAACATTAGCGCGAAACCAACCTATCCTTCATGTAGATATTGACCTAAAAGCCCTAGTGCTTGAGGCTTACCACAAAGGTCAACAGGAGCTTCTCTACGTGGTCCCATTCGTGGCTAAAGTGCTAGAGTCTTGTGCGAAGAGCGTCGTCTTCAAACCGCCAAACCCTTGGATGATGGCGTTGATGAACGTCCTGGCAGAGTTGCATCAAGAACCCGATTTGAAGCTGAATTTGAAGTTTGAAATTGAAGTGTTGTGTAAAAACCTTAACTTGTCAATTACGGACCTTAAGCCTTCTCTCTATTTGAAAGATCCAGAAAAGGTGAGGCTCATCGAGTTCCAGCTTTCGCAGCCCAAACCAAATAAAGAAGCTGCAAACACACCAATGCCACAGGTCAATCAAACCATTGTCCAGGCACCGCCAATACAGATGCTAGTTCCTCCTCCGCCTATGATCCCGACTGAAGAGATCGTCGCCGCCGTTGCTACTCCTACCAGCGGCCTTGCAACTAATGACCCAACACTGATGGGCTTTCTTGGACTGCCCGAGCCCAGGTTCAACTATTTAGACGTGAATGTTTCCTCAACATCTGCATTTGGACAGAAGATATGTTTCAATCCCCATATTATCCTGTTCCAAAATTATCCTCATCTCAAGCAATTCGTGAAGCCTGCGATCGAAAGATCGATTCAGGAATGGATACATCCAGTGGTCGACAGATCGATCAAGTACGCTCTTACCACTTGCGAGCAAATTATCCGAAAAGATTTTGCATTTGACCCTGACGAAGTCAGATTGCGTACTTGCGCCCACCACATGATGAGAAACCTGACCGCGGGCATGGCCATGATCACGTGTCGCGAACAAATCATCAGCACTATCAGCACCAACTTGAAGACGGCATTCGTGACTGCGCTCATGCCTTCCACACCTCAGGTAAAGTTTCACTTGTTTATTTTCATATTTCATACTAAACATCAAAATGTAGTATTTGCTTGACACTATACCAAACTTGTTTTCAGAAGGAGATCATTGAGAGTGCAGCAGCTGTTCTCGCCACAGAAAACATGGAGCTGGCTTGCGCTTTCATACAGAAGACCGCTGTCGAGAAGGCACTGCCTGAACTAGACAAACGACTAATGAATGATTACGAAGTGAGAAAACTCGCCCGACAAGAGGGCAGGCGCTACTACGACCCCATCGTCCTCACTTACCAGACCGAGCGCATTCCAGAAAGAGTGCGCCTACGCGTCGGCGGACCTACCGATCAACAGATCGCCGTATACGAAGAGTTTGCATGCAACATTCCCGGTTTCATGCCAATTCGCGATCCTGGAATGTTTATGCCCAAGCAATCGGTGCAAGAACAAATCCCGCAACTGACTTTCAGCCAAGTTATGAATCCCGCTCAGGTTTACGGCGCTGACGAAATGACCTCCCTGATAAATGCTGCTGAGTTGTTCCTCACGAATTCGCTCGGCGTGGCATCGCTTACCGTTCAAGCTACAAACATGCACGCCCTCCTTGAGTGCCTTGTCATAGCAAGGAGGAACCGTGACATTGTTTCCGGATATACTCTACTACAGAAGGTAATTATTATATGATCTCAAATAATTTACTTAGTAGTTGTTTGGTACGCTTCTAAATGTGGCATATTGTTTCAGGCCGTGGAAGGTCTTCTCGATGGCCATATCGTCCAGCCGGGCACGTCCAGCGATCATGTAGAGATGATGAACAGATACCGTGATATTCACATTAGAGTTCTCAAGCTCCTTGAAGACGCGAGAGTATACGGACACGTCTGGACTACCAAGCAGATCACTTGCTATCTTACCGAGTGCAGGGAGGAACTGAGATATAACGCAGAGGCTACAGATTGTCTCATTAGGAATCACTTGATCAACTTGCCTCAGGTAAGTTTAGTTCATATCCACGAGACATAATATTGGAAACACCAGTTTCAACACTGACGCAACTCGAAAATGGCAAACATGGCGAGTATTATATCGTCGGTGTCTTGTAGAAAGTTTTAAACTGTTTTAAAACTTTTATGTCCTGTTTTAAATTCAATTTTGGTCTCAATTAAGTCAAAGTTTTAAAACTGTCGTGAGGACCTAAAAATATGCTCCAGATTTAAATATAATTTTCCCCTAATCTTTCCAATTTTTTTACCAATATGCAGGGTAGTTTGCACGCGCCGTACCAAAACATGAAATCGTCGGAGATAGTTCAATTACGCGTAACTAGCATTTCATTATGTGTCTCCATTTCGGTAATGTAGTGACCAAATTAAATGCGCGTAAAGACGTGGCAACCAAATTAGCGTGATTTACGGGAATCTATTGCTATCAGTCCGTAGCCAACATAAATTAATGCTTGCTATGCAAAAACGGAAGTCGTAGCCATTGAAATAACAAAGTAATAACTTTGAATCCCTCTCCTGTGAAAATCGGTTTGGTGCAGATACGCGCCTTTTACCAATATGCATACGCTATATAAGCGGATTTGCACTATCCCCGACGAAATGATTGTTTTTAACTTGTGACATTGTTGAGACGGGTGTGCGATTTTAATGAAGGATCACTTCATTTTGATCTTGCTTCCTTATTTGATTATCATTGACAAGAATTGAGTTTTCCTTGTACAGTACGACATCGCTCTTGCTCACATGATGGACAATGGGAATAACTACATGGCGGTAGCTTTCGCTATGCAACTCGTGCAGTTGTATTTGGTAGACGACAGGAACAATATGTACGCGAATGAGTCTGATCTTTACCACACCACTGAGACGCTTTTGCGCATCATGTCGCATTCCCGGCAGCCGCCGCCAGAAGGTCTCGGGTCCTTGATTGAAATGTTACGCATCAACCAGGATCCTAGCGCTTACCTTGGCGAGAGGTCGCCGCTAGGGCCGACTGCGCACATCCATTCCGGAATCTTACAAGTGCGGGTAAGCAATCTTAAACTAAATCTTACTTTTGTTACTTCAAATCCATTTATTCCCTTTGGATAGGGTAGGGTACATTATAAATGTCGATATGGAGTTAAATGACAGTTTTCAAGTGTTGCCCACTTACAAGCAGCTAGTGATTGCACTCGATAAATATTCTATCGACTACCGACTGAATGTTGGTCACGCTTATGCAATAAATAACCGAACCTGTTATATTATATCATTATCGGCCCATTATTCGTCCAACTGCTGGGCACAGGTTACTTAAATTGTCAATTTTTTTGTAAATTCGTACATACACTGCATTTAGAACAATGCCTATTAAAAATACAACGAGTTGACGTAATTTAAAGCAATAAAAATTGAATTAGGCACTAGTAGGCCAACTTTCAAATTAAGAATAAAGAAGGCAATAACGCAATTAGTAATCAGAAGAACGTCGCAACAATCACAATTCAAGACATTTTCAGCAAATTTTTACCTTCTTTCACAATCTATCGATAAAACTGTCGACAACAACCACATGACTATTTGAAAACTGGCAACCCTGCAAGTGTCACTTTACTCCATTTTCAAAAAAGACAGACTATAGATCTTAATCCTATTCAGCCTTAAACAGAAACATGCAAAATAATAATAAACAATTAAACAATGCAGTACCAAATTAAAATAATTGATACAGGATATGCCATAATGGTGGATGTCATAATTTTATTATATTAGACAAATGAATAATTGTAAAGGAATGCATGCATGCATCAATCAATTAGACTTTATATTTCATAAAATCGTCACCTGGAAGAGGCTTAAAGCGATCTGGTATCTGATCAAAGATTTTCACACGCTTAGCAATATCAATTACTTTGGAAGCGTTGTGTCTTTGGTATTGTGTCCACTGTTACTTTATTTGGGTTTATTAGGCTTCTAACAGTTACGTCCTTCGCTATTATAAATTTTGATTGATTCAATTTTACAAATATACCAAACTCGAGAGAATACAGGCATGGGAACGGCTCAACTTGCCCTATCAATGTGTTTGTTAAACGTGTTTATAATTCAGGCTCGTGATTACGACGACCCACCTGGCCTGCAAGACAAAACCGAGAACCTCCTTCGGGAATGGCGAAACGTGCTCTTGAGCCCGCTAACTGAAATCGAGATTGCGCAAAATTTTAATATCTACGTTCATCGCATGAACATGAATGGAATTTTGAAATCTGACGATATGATCACGAGGTTTTTCCGCATCGCCACCCAAATGTGCATCGAGAACGTGTACCAGCAGCTGAATGAGGAACGCATGAATCCCCCTCAAAGCCCGCCCAAGAGGGATAAGTACTACGCCATGTGCGATTCCTTTATCAAGCTCGTGTCACTGCTAATCAAGAACACTGCTGATAGTGGCAACCCTACGCCGAAGCTCAATCTCTTGAACAAGGTACGTCAGTTACAAACACCGAAATCAGCGGCCATTTTTATGCGACCATTTTTTTTTCATAATATCTGACTATCGCCATCGTTTTTAGATCCTGGGGATCATCGCTGGCTGTTTGCTTCAAGACCATGAGGAACATGGCACCAACTTCCAACAGCTGCCGTACCACCGGCTCCTGCTTATTCTGTTCCTCGACATGAACATGGCGGAACCTGTTTTAGAATCTATGAACTACCAGGTAATTTTCATTAACTACCGCGTTGAGTTATAAACTCGATCTAAGCTTAGTTCCATGTAAAGTGTTGGTAACTCGAAATACGTGAAATTCCAGATTATACTATTGCTGAATTTAAAATTTGATTCTCTTCGAATAAAACCGTCATTGGAATACTGTAAGAAACAATCAAAATATGTCTACTTAACTCAAAATGAGACAATTTTTTTGTCAACTAGTTCTGGCCAAAATGGTGCTACCTCCAAAATACTCCCTTTTCTTTTTAAATGTATTTGGCAAGTAACGTTAACCTATACATACATTTTAATGATCTTTCACGGGAAGTATATATATATGCAATTGTGTGAATCAACAGTTTAGAAGTTTTAGCTTTTAGATGTCTTATAGCTCCGCGTCATCAACAGGTTCTGACAGCGTTCTGCCATACCTACCGCATCATCCGGCCGAATATCGCTCCTGGATTCTGCTATGCGTGGCTCGAGCTGGTTGCTCATCGCACCTTCATTAACCGAGTGCTGGCCGTCACGCCACAGCAAAAGGTAACTTTCAATAATAGGTCCATTGACTTATAAGTATAACTATGATAAATGTCACACTGCGTTTTTTATACGAATGTTCAGTAAAGCTTCCAGGCAGCTATCGCATCAGCACACGCAAAGACGGGAAAGAGAGAAAGATTGTCATAATCGCCACACTTTTTTCTCCACAATATTTTTTATAACAAATAGAGGCTACATCAAACATATCGACTCATCCGAAGAATAGAGTCCGATGAGATTATACAACGAAAAGAGGATAAATATAATCTCGTTATTCAAAATAACACCTAGCTCTGGGTGTTTACAGAATTTTATGTATTATTTCGTTTCGAAAATATAAAATCGAACAATTAAGAACAGCGCGCAAAATGTACAATGTCCTGAGAATAAGCAATCTTGCACGTAGGTCTTTGTTCTGCGGATAAGTCGATATAACACATCTATTTTTTTATATAATGTTGTTTTCCTATTTAAATGCAATAATTTATTGAACCAGCTCATTTCGAAAAATCTTAAGCTCTAGTCGTCCGTCTGACGTCACGTCTAGTGACGAGAAAAACCGATACTAAACTTATTTGTATTAGTGTGTTTCTAGTTATTATGTACAATATATAATTTAATTATTTGATTATATTAGGAAATACTCACAAAGTGGATACGAGAGTAATACACTTGACACTAATTAATTCATCAAATATAATATCGGTTTTCATTCAGGAAGTACGTCATACAGACGACGACTTCCAGGGCCGGCCTTGTAAAACTCTAAAAAAAAAATGAATAATTGATGACAAAAATTATGAAATTTTATAAACGGCTTGTTGGAAAAATGTGCAATTGTCAATTACGGCAGTTTGACAGATGAAGACATAGTTGCTGTCTGTCTCTTGAATGTATCACACCAAATTTTGTTCGGGGATAGGTTTTCACGCTTTAGTGGGATTGGTACAAGACCCCTTCCTCTAAAGCCAATCTTCTTTATAATAAACACAAACATTCTTATTTCAGGGCTGGGGAATGTATTCCACACTCTTGGTCGACCTTTTCAAGTTCCTCGATCCGTTCCTTCGCAACACTGAGCTCGCGTCTCCAGTCATGATGTTGTACAAGGGCACCCTAAAAGTGCTCTTAGTACTCCTCCATGACTTCCCGGAGTTCCTGTGCGACTATCACTACGGATTCTGCGATGAGATACCGCCTAATTGTATACAAATGCGGAACCTCATCTTGTCGGCCTTCCCCCGCAACATGCGCCTGCCAGATCCATTCACGCCAAACTTGAAGGTAGACTTGCTGACGGAAATAGCGTTACCACCACGCGCTGTTATCAACTATGCCACCTTGATACCGGTGTCTCAATTCAAGAAGGATTTGGATGCGTACTTGAAGGCCCGCACCCCGGTCACTTTCTTGTCGGAACTCAGGGGCAACATGCAGGTAAGAGATACCTACTTTCATACTACTTAATACCATTTGCAATGATAAATGACAGTCCCGTATCTTTCTAATTAAGTTGTGATTGTAGTGACCCTTCCTGTCAAGCTCTGGGTTATGCAGGAGGGGCACTGTAACTTGTGCAAGCACAGGGACTTTAAAAGTCCAAAAGGTCAATTCAGAACCTATCGCATATCTTTTAATTTTTATTAACATTAACCGAATCGAACGTCAAACTGCCGTATTCGAAACCGCACCGAAATGACGTCACACCCGTAGATTACTCGGGATTCGGTTAAGATATCGAAGAGTTCTGAATTGGGGGCTATCTCCCAAGGCTGATTTTAAAATTTTAAATCATCTCGCTTGTGTATAGATAGAGTGGCAATGGCATGATTTTGTATGTTTGGTATGCTAATGTTCAGAGTAAATGGTTTGTCAAGTCAAGTGCCAAGAATTATAATAAACTACCATCTTGACATAAGGAACATTAAGGATATTGTGACATTTAAAAGAAATTTATTTGAATATCCTGTTAATGAAACATTTTACTCTATTGATGAGTATTTGAATAATAAGTAATTTGATATTATTTAATATTATTTTAATCAAAATTGTTTTTAGTTTGTAGAATCATAATATGTATTTGTATGTTGACGACGACGTTATGAATATAATGGTGTCAGACATGCTAATATTTGCTAAGAAGTTTATAAATTGTATATAATTCTTATGTTCCTTACACTCATGTACTTATTTACTTCGTATGCCTTAAGGCACAACATAGAGGGTCACCATAAATTTATTTATCACCATGTATTTCAACGTATCTACTGTAACCTATGTTTTTTTAATTAAAGCTACTATTCAATTGCCTTTGCAATTTTTGGGTACTCAGCTCTAGAGGATCGAAGGCACGTGAATGACGTAGTCATGTATAATCATCGAGTATATAACCAGAAAAAGAGACGAAATGTCATTTGATTTGTTTGAAAACTATTCTGCCATATGATTACCGTGACAACTGTTCTCCGATTGGCCAGCCCGAATTCGAAACAATTGACGGGTGTCGTCAATTTACGTCGACCAGTTAACTTGAGCTTTGCTGTAATGGACGCTTTTGCTATAATGTAATTAGATGTTTTGCTGTTTTTCCCACACCACCGAATTGAACAGCCCCCATTGTTAGAGATATTATCTTTATTACAATAAATACAGAATATATTTGGAATATACGGAGACATACACACAGGTCAGTTGTTGGCGCTGTACTATTTCAGCTTTCTAATTTGTGATTTCAGTTCGAACGATAGTTGATATTTATAAGTGATGTCTCACTGATGAGTTACCAAGAATGTGTGGCCCTTAATTCCTCTCTATTTCTGGTTATATACTCGATGTGTATAATAAAATGAAATTAAAGACTTGATTCCTGCATAAATGAGATAAAAATTAAGACATATCTAGTAATTTCTATTTAGTTTTAGTAAGGCAACATCAAGTGTTAGTGACTGAATGAATAAAAGCAATCGTTGCCACTCCACTGACATTTTATTGAGACTCAACTGCTGTTGCAACTAGATTTTAGTACAATAACGAATATTACTACTCATCCGAAGAACAGAGTCCAGTCGAAAAGAGAATAATTGCGTTAAGAGAATAATTTCGTTATTCCAACTATGTAAAGGTGTTTTGAGAATTTATATATCTTATTTCGTTTCGGAACATTGACTTACAATTATATGGACGTCGGGTCCGCGCTAAAAAGTGTCCGAACTTATACGGCGTTAAAATCGTATACAGAGCGTCATTCACGCTTTAGTCTTCGTTTGTTCGACTGACAGCGAAACACGCAAAATTAGACAGTACTGCGATGACATTACAATTTAAATTCAACGTTTTAGCTTTTTCATATTCCTTTACATGTCACTACGTTTAAATAGGTTGACTTGGGACATTTTTTTCGTGGTTTTTGTATTAGACCCGTCGTCCATTTATTTGTAAGTCAATGTTTCGGAAATATAAAATCGAACAACGGTCGATCTGACATCCACAGCGAATAAGAACGAACGAAATGTACTATGTCCTGAGAACAAGTAGTCTTACACATAGATCTTTCTTTGTTCTACGGATGAGTCGATTATATTAATTGTAATATAATCTCATCGGAGTCGCAACGGAGAATTACAATGACCAGTGCTTTCAAGGAGTTAAATGATAAATGACAAACAATTACCGACATTATTTCTTCAACATCTTTGGTAATTGGTTAACACGTTCTCCTTAGGTGGTGAATGACCCTGGCCGCCGTTATAACTGCCAGTTGATGAATGCTGTGGTTCTGTATGTGGGCACTCAAGCCATCGCACACATTCGTGCCAAAGGCCAGACCCCGAACATGTCGACAATCGCTCATTCTGCGCACATGGACATCTTCCAGAATTTCACCGTCGATTTCGACTTTGAAGGCCGGTAAGCATCTATCATTATTACTTTAACAAACTCGGTTCTCGGAAGTAAGCTAACATTAATATGAACTATATAATCTCCTAAATGAGACGTTATGTGCTTTGCAGCAGGATACTATTTTATCTACACACACACATACATACATAAACCCTCTACGATGTGTTCAAAACCCAAAATTACGACCACCATCAAGATTAAACTGTTTTGTTAAAACAAATTTCTTATCTGTGAAAATGTTATTATTGATTCACTAATAACATCAAATTCGATTTTATTACTTTCAAATTTCGAACATTTCTGAAGAACAAAACAATTTAATTCGACCTCAATTCTAATATCAGTCGAAATGAGTTTAATTAGAAATGAAATTACAATAGCAAAATATTTCGACAAATTTCACACGTTACTTGATATCGAACAATATGATAGTTGGGCCGATTCTAGTTTGTTTATGAATGAAATAAAAACTACGGTTGTGTTTAATGCGTGAGAAAAGTTTTTATTTGCCGCCATTTCGCCAGTCGTAATATGCGGTCCCTGAACAGACCATAGAGAGCTTATAATATGTGTATAGATAAAGCAGTTTATTTGAATGTACATAATTAGGCATTAAACCACTCGTATGATTTTATGAAACTCGCCTAACCCACGCTTGGGTTTTAATGCCTTTCATTATTTAACAGTCACCTAAACTCCTAGTTTGGTATATTCTGTTAGTGTTGTAGGCTAGGGATGCACGATTTTTTGCTTTGAATCGATTTTTTGAATCGTAATGGATCATATGAATGCAGCTAGTTATTGCAGTCGATAAATATTCTAACGACAGAATGTTGGTTACACTTATGCAATAAAAAACCGAACTAGTTTCATTTGAATCATCTATTTTATTTATTTATTTATTTATTGCATATCACACATGGAGCTTATAGATAGTACTTACAATATAGGGCAGTTAATATGTGACGCCCTGCAAGGGCACAGCAACTGTGGAAGACAGTCTCACATTGACATTATTAATACAGCAATTTAATTAATATATATACAATACAATTTATACGTTATAAGTTATCAATCAAATATTAGAACTAAATAATCATTTTATCAAATCGTCAAAAGATAAACATCTTTCTAATTGTATTAAATAACATATGTCAATTAAACATTATAGGTAATTAGAATCTTTAATTAATTATTTTAAATGTAAAGTCATTGTAGCAAATCGTCAAAAAATTCTTTTAAATTGTAATAGCATTTACGAATAAGGAATATTTTTAATACTTTGCAAAACTCTGTAAATTTTTGGCGATTTTTATCATCATCGGCCCATTGTTCGTCCAACTGCTGGAAACAGGTTCATTTGGAACGTCCATTTTTGTGAGTTATAATCGCAAACACTGCACTTAGAACTATGTATGTCTATTAAAAATAAAAAGAAAGAACATATTTTAAAGTTTTTAATTTTGATTAAGTATAGATAATCAAATCCGCCTGTTGTATATGAACGAAAATTGATATCGATATTAGTAGGTCAACAGTCAAAATAAGAATACAGAAGGCAATAACGCAATTATTAAACATTAAAACGTCGTAACATTCACAATTCACAGACATTTCTGGCAAAATTTTGCCTTCTTTCACAATCTATCGATAAAACTGTCGACAACAACTACATGACTATTTAAAATATAATAATTAAAACAGACATCCCTACAAATGTCATTTTACTTCATCTTCCAAAACGACAGACTATAAACAAACAACAAAATTGTAATAATAACACAATTCCAGATACTTGTTCCTGAATGCCATCGCGAACCAGCTTCGGTACCCTAACAGCCACACTCACTACTTCAGCTGTTGCCTTCTCTACTTATTCGCCGAGGCGAACTCCGAAGCGGTGCAGGAGCAGATCACGCGAATGCTTCTCGAACGGCTGATTGTGAACAGACCACACCCTTGGGGACTGCTCATCACGTTCATTGAACTCATCAAGAACCCCATTTACAAATTCTGGTCCCACGAGTTCGTGCACTGCGCCCCAGAGATTGAGAAGTAAGTGTTCGAATAATTATCCTGTAAAATGTAAACATAGGTTAACGGAGCCAAAAAAAAACATTTGAAATGGTAGTTTCCTATTTTTGACGATAATAAACGTTTATAACTGTGGTAGCAGTAGAGCTTCTTGTGAACGAGGCTTAGGGTGCTGGTGAAATCACAGGCACATGGGACTTGTCAACATATGTCTCAGGGTCGTATTCCAGAACTGTACTCAAGTCAGGACTGAGTATTGCAGTGAGCACTGAAAATCGTACTCAAGTCCTTGCCATTAGGATCGTATTTCCAGTGCTTGAAGTCATACTCAAGTCCTGACTAGAGTTCTGGAATTCGATTCTCAGGGTCACGGGCGCAGTGGCAGTGCCCCTACGATCTTTGCCATTTAAAGCTCTGAGTCGCACTGCAACTGTTATGAATAGGCGTGTCGCTTACCAACAGGAGTACGAGCTGTTCGTCCCGTCACTTGGTATAATAAAAAAAAACGTATTTCGGTCTCATGAGATGGTTTCTTCCAAACTGCCCATAATTATACACCATACGAAACCAATACTGTCGTAACTCAAAATTGCGGTATTGAGTAAACAGGATTTTTCTAATAAAAATAAAAAGAAACTGAATGAAACCGATATATATTTATATTTGTTAATACAATAGTGTATTAATTAACTCAAAAGTTTATTTTTACGAATCGATGATAAACCAATTACTCACTTCCCGTGAAAGATTATTACAGTTGATGCGTAAAGTTTATTACAGACTTGTAAACAATTTCAGTTTTTTTGCAAGTGTATTTAAAAATAAAAGGTAACAAATAATTTCGGTACTAAAAACTAACTCACAAAGTTTTATCTCAATTTGAATTAAGTTGATATCTTTTAATTGTTTCTTAAAATATTCTAACGGCGGTTTTATTGACGTGTCATTGTACAGAATCCAATTTTACGTCCACCAATGGTATAATTATGAATTGCATGTATTTTGAGTTATAACACTATTGTAATAGCCGTGCGATGTGTTCTCTATAAAAATATGTATAATAAAATATTATATATGAATAAAAATAATGATAATATTCGCAACCTGCCCCTGTACTCTCCGTCCGACATCTGACCGAAACAATTACCGTCAAATAAGTAATACCCACCGAGTATGTAACTAGAAATAGAGACGAAATAAGGACCATTCGTTCCTGGTAAGTCGTCAGTGATACATCACTTAGAAATATCAACTCTTGTTTGCACTGAAATATAGACTGCGCCAACAACTGACGTATGTGTACTTCTCTGTGTATTCCAAAAATATTCTGTATTTATTGTAATAAAGATAATATCTCTAACAATGGCGTGCTGTTCCATTCGGTGGTGTGGGGAAAAACAGCAAAACATCTAATTACAAAACAAACGGAATCATATTTCATCGGTTATTAAATATGTAATTTTGCAATTTTCGTCCATTATAGCAAAGGTCAAGTTAACTAGTCGATTTGAAGTGAAACAGTTGACGACACCCATTGACGACACCGTCAATTGTTTCGAACTCGGGCTGGCCAATCAGAACGCAGTTAATGATATGGCAGAATAGTTTTGAAACAAATGATAAGGCGCATGATGCGAATGAAGCTGCATGCTTGACATTGTCTTTTGGTCGTTTGTTCGAATATTACTTATTTCACAGTAATTGAGACGGACGAAGAATAAGAAATAGTACACCCCAAGATCTGTTCAGTATATTATTTTTAAATTTTCAAATTGTATTCTTGTCAATTCCACAACGTTGAGTTACGACAGTCTAATACAGGAGAACTTCGGTACTGACATCTCAGCCGGTACGCCTTTGATATTGAATTTAAAAGCTGTTTAATACGAGCCAAAAAATGTTGCGCACTTGTTGTTCTGTGCTTCTTTTTCATACAAAAATGTGTTGTGTGCAGGTTGTTCGCGTCTGTAGCGCGGTCGTGCATCGTGGACAAGTCCGTCACTGGAGGGGGCGAACGGGAGATAGCCGAGTAGCGCCGCGCCAATTGGGAGTCTGCGCGGCATAAGCAAATATTTAGAAGCTTTGCCGTTAAAGGTAAACAAATTACCTAATTCAAGTCCCTACGTCATTGACTTACAAATAAATGAACGACGGGTCTAATACAAAAACCACGAAAAAAATGTCCCAAGTCAACCTATTTAATTATTTTTTTATTTAATTTAAATTATTATTTAATTATATGGACGTCGGGTCCGCGCTAAAAAGTGTCCGAACTTATAGGGCGTTAAAATCGTATACAGAGCGTCATTCACGCTCTAGTCTTCGTTTGTTCGACTGACAGCGAAGCAAGCAAAATTAGACAGTACTGCGATGACATTACAATTTAAATTCAACGTTTTAGCTTTTTCATATTCCTTTACATGTCACTACGTTTAAATAGGTTGACTTGGGACATTTTTTTCGTGGTTTTTGTATTAGACCCGTCGTCCATTTATTTGTAAGTCAATG